TAAGAGCTTTTAAAGAGGTACTATAACAGTAAGCTCGCTAGTTACTATAGCATAGAGAGGTCGCACGAGTTACTATCGCGTATATACTACTAGCTAAATAGTAAGCGGCATATAAAGGAGTATATACAGACCTATGCAGTATGCTAGCGAGTCAAAGTACTAAAGCACTTACTATTTAGCGAGTTGTCTTTACTCCCTATTCTAAAGAAGCCTTTTGTAGAGCTTATAATAGACTTTATTATAGGTCTCCCCCCTACTAAGCGAAGAGGAAGCAAAGACATCTTTAACGCTATCCTAGTCGTCGTAGACCGATTTACTAAGGGCGCTCGTTACATCCCTACTAGGAAGGATTAGATAGCTATTAACTTAGCTGAGTCACTATAGAATAACATCTTCTATAGCTATTAGGGAACCCCTAAAGGGATAGTCTCCGACAGAGGCTCGATATTTATATCTTACTATTAGAGTGAGATATACCTATAGCTAAGACTTAAGCATCGCCTATCTATAGCGTTCTATCTATAAACAGATAGCTAGACCGAGAGGCAAAATGCTACGCTATAGTAGTACCTGCGTAGCTACATTAACGAGAACCCTAACGACTAGGTCAACCTCCTATAACTAGCCGAATTCGTATACAATAATAGTGTCCACTTATCTACTAAGGTTTTACCTTATTTCGCTATAATAGGCTAGAACGCTACTATGCTATAAGACCCCCTATCGCTCGAGGCCGAGCGTAAGGAAAGGGAAGCGGGTTAACCTAAGACACTAGCGGCTATTAAGAGGGTTTAAAAGATACGAGAAATTCACGCTAAGATAGCTAACAAACTAGTAAAGGCCTAGGCCTATTAGAAGGCCTACTATAACAAACACTACCTTCTAATAACCTTCAAGCAAGGCGACCTAGTTATGCTTAGTACAAAGAACCTCCGTATCCGCAAACACCCCTCGCCTAATAGCAAAATAAGGCCTAAACTCGCACTAAGGTACATTGGCCCTTTCTGTATCCGAGAACCTAGGGGCACCTAGGCCTATTAGTTATAGCTTCCACCTTATTACACTATCTATAATACCTTCTATGTGTCCCTCCTTAAGCCGTACTACCTACGCGAAGGGGATAAAGCACCTGCTAAATCCGAGGACATACTAGCTAATAGCGAAGAGCTGTAGTCTATAGAACGTATCCTAAAGCATCGGACTAGGTAGGGCAAGAAGGAGTACCTATTAAGATAGTAAGGCTATTTACCTAAATAGGACTTATAGGAAGCTAAAGGTTCCTTTAAGGACATAACCGAGTTGTTAGATAAGTATTAGACTAGCGTAAAGGACAAGAAGAAGGCCAAAAGCTTATAATATTACTATTAAGGCCTAGGATTAATACTACCCCTAGGGTGCTATTAGCTAACTAATTAGCTACAAGCAATTGTTAGCAATAAGAGACAATAAGACTACACTACTATAGTGAACGCGTACCGAGTGTTAACAAGCGCGCTACGACGCGTTAATTAGTTACTGCTCTTTTAAAGACTCTACCTCTTGTTCCTTTATCCTACCGAGGCCTCGAGGCCTAGGCAATCGACGAGAATGCGCGCGCGCGCGTACGAATAGCGGTATGTTAGAAGATAGCTAGCGCGGCTATATTAGTAACGGTATTGCGGAGTATATTATTAGTCAAAGAAGGAAATCGAAAGCAAGGTAAAGTTAGCGCTAAGACGACTAGCGCTACTATTATTAATATTACTTACTATTGTCGCTACGCCTATAGACACAACCTTACCTATACTACGAGCCTAAGGCACCCTTAATCAAAACTTTGATTAAAGCCTTAAGCCTATTAAAGGTTTGATTAAAACTTTAAGGCTAAGTTAAAACTTTAACTAAGACAAAAGATTAAGCGACTAATAGACTAACTAAGGGCAAAACTATAGAGCTAAGCTAGCCGGGGTCGATCTTGCGGACAATAGGTTACTCCTCGATCTATCTAACCCTTTAAGCGAGGCGAACCTCTACTACTACACTTATAATAGCCTTTACCTATAGAAACTAGAAGAACTGAGTTTTTTAAAAAGATATAATTAGTTAACACTTAAAGGCTGCTAAACCTAACTAATTAGGGCTAGCGAAACTACGAACAGTAATAGCCTTCGTAACAATAAGAACAACCCTCGGAACGGACAAACCCCCGGAGCGGACATTTCTAGGTCTTTTAAGAGTAGACGTAGAGAACTCGGTACGACATTACTTAGAACGGGGGCAGTGCTATAATACCCCGTATACCTACCTATTATAGTAGGGAAGGTGCGCTCGTATTGTAATTGGTCGATAGTCCTTAATTCTTATAGTTATATATTACTTTATTGTATGTAAGGATAGCGTAGTTAGAGTTAGATATTATATTAAAAGGTAAGGTTTAATATAGTTACATAATCGGTAGTTGTGCGTTCAATTTAGCGCGGACTAAGCGGCTTATTAGGCCTACTAAGTTAGTAGCAATAGAGGTTAAGACTAGAACAAAGACCGGCTACGAGGGCGCGGCCTTTAGAAGGGAAGCGTATATTAGGACCAAAGAGGTTACACGTAATTAGCATATAACCGGGCTCGAGTAAAGCTAGGGTCTTAATGCCTTAGGCAGGACTTAGCGCTTAGCGTTAGGCTAACTAGCCTGCCTTCCTCCCTCTCCTCTTAGATCTCTATCGAATACTACACTAATTTACTACCACCCTATCTACCTGCTAACATAACCCTTCTTACAGTATCGAGAACGCGCTAGTATTCGTAAGCAAACATTACGTTAAGGCCTAGAGACGGCTCGATATGTCGTCGCTATTATAGCTTACTAATTTCTAGTCTATTAAATAGGTAGTCTCGTAGAATATAGTAACAAGGTAGGCGGGTTTAAAACTACGAGAGGCAATTGCAACGAGCCGGAGTTATATAGTCGTAACTGCGTAGTATGCCCTTATAAATAGGCGCTGCCTTAGCTTCTATCTTAATAGCGATATCTACCTGTTCTCGTAGTCGATCTTAAGCCGCTAGCGGTTACAGACTCTCGAAGCTTAGAAGGCGCTTTTTATACTAGTATTATATGCCTTTACTAACTCTGTAGCTAGCGAGTTGTGCCTTATAAGCTAGCCTGTCGTCTACCTTAAGAACCTCGAGAATCGTACTATAGAGGTTATAGAACACAAGGTTCCGCTTGTTCCGGTTATACTTAATAGTATAGTAATAGCCCTCGAGAGGCGAAGTTGTCCGTATTTGTAGCAATAATAGACTGTAGAGCCGTACCTATATAGCCTATGTTCGTAAAGTCTAACTATTCTAATTATAGCGTATATATTAGACCTTGTTTTGCTAGTCTATAGGCTTCTTCTCTTGTAACTACTCCTAGATCTAAACTATATCGTTAGTAACCTCGCTAGCGCTGCGGGCGTAATAGATTGCGTAGTAGAATCGCTTAACAACCTCTAGAAATTAGGCCTCTAGAAATAAGCGAAGGAAGGTCTCTTTAACGTGCCGCTAGCAGAGGTAGATAAGCACCTGTTTCTCCTTCTAAGAGAGGTTAATTGCGGCCTACTTAGAGGCTAAGTCGTCTACTATAGCTATAATAGTATTCTATAGTAGTAACTACCCTTTAAGGACTCGGAGACCGGCTTCTACTAGCTTAGCTTTCTAAGATTCTAGCAATATATATCCTACTAGCAACTAGCACCCTAACCTATTACGAACATATATAGTAAAAAGGCTCTAGCTAAGGTCGGTAGTCTTATAAGTTGCGTCTAGCAAGAACAACTATATAGTATATAAGTTAGTAATGTTTTGAATTTTTAAAGTTAGTCGTAAGAACTATAGAACGCAAGCTTAGAAGCTTAGTTATGCGCCTGCCTTCTATAGTAATAACAATAATACCTGCACTTATATCTCCTGCCTTAGTATTTAACAACTCTCGCTACTAGTCGGTCTAAAATACAATACTACGCTCTTCCTTGCCCTTTAATCTCTTCGATATTACCTAGTATTTAAGCTCTTTGCTGTCTATATTATTACAAAGGCTATTAAGGATAGCAGGAAGGTCGCCTAGCTAGATATTCGCATTTCTACGCTTAGTACTACGCACCTTCTTTAAGTCCGGCCTAATCTTTAACTAACCGACAGTACTAGCCTTTATATACTACCTACTAATCTTACTAAACTCGTCTTTTATTAGGCTATTTTTAATAAATTTAATAACCTTAGCAACGTTAAATTTACGCTATTCTATTAACTCCTCGAGTAACACCCTTAAGGCGTTACTAGCCGACCTAATATCTATATACTTTAGGTTATAGTAGTATAGGTTATTACCTACTATAGAAAGGTCGACTTAGTAATAGCGGACACTAATTTTATATAGATTAGCCTCTTCTTTGCTCTAGAAGTGCGAGATAACTAGTATTGCAGCATTATACGGCTTTTTATTATATTTAGCCTTGCGAATACTCTCCGAGGGCGACCTATTCCGCTACTAATCGCGCCTATAACGACAATACTAGTACGACCGCTATTATAATCTATCCTTCGTCCTTTGCGACTTCGCCTCCTTATATACGTTACTTATATAGCCCTTTAGTACCTCGAAGCGCTTAGGCTCGAAAGTTAACCCCTACGGTATATTAAATAGCTACTCTCGGATATCGATTATATTATATAGTATACGGTTAGGCCTAAACGGCGGCGGTACTAGTTTAGATAAGATAGGCGGTATAGCGACGATAATAATAATAACGATTAAATAGTATTTAAGCTATTATAGAAAGAGCTAGATCTATATATAAGAAAGAGCTATAGAGATAAGGTTAGAACTAGAAGTATAACCGAGAAGGTTAATACGGTACTAGAATAGGAAAAGCACCGTCGATTACTAGGCAAACTATACTAAGTTAGTAGATAACGCCCTCCGGAAGTAAACCACTATTGCAAACAGTAGTACGCTAAATTTCCTGACATACAAGAGTACCTTAATGTGTATAGTCTCTTCGTCTCTGCAGGCCCAATGCACACGCAAGCAGGTGTGATGCACTAAGGTCACGAGTGTGAAAGGAAACAGGATTCTTTTCAAAGTCCATCAAATCGTTCAATCAACAGAACTGCCACGTCAGGTGATTTCTCACACCCTCGGCCGAAGGTGTCGCGCCATTATTGAGTGATCTCTGGAGCGGAGCGGGGTACGCGGTCGCAATGTCAGCACCGCAACCTTTCACGCGTCTTCTCCTTCTTGCACTCACCATGCTTCCTTCGTATACAAGACCTGAAGACCTCTTTCACTTCTTTGTATGAGATCACGATGGCAACAGAAGAGCACGGCGTGATGCCCCAGCCTGCCGCGAGCGAAGCGCCCCGTCGCCAATAATGCCCCCGAACTGGTTGAACTGCGGTCGCCGGTCAATGCTCTCCCCAACGCAATCGCTGGCTATCGAACAGCGGGTAATCTACTCCTATGAGAAGGCCTGAGATAGGGCATTCGAAAGGTCCCGTATAATGTTGCTGCCTTATTATGCTCCATTCACAAGCAAGAAAGAGCGTGGGAGAACTGCGTTGAGACCTGTTACTTTCCGTGATCCTCGTGTGCGCAGTAGCATCCAGCACTGGACTGGTCTTCTCGAGGACACGTGTGTCGACGAAAGGGACAAGATGGCATCTCTGCACGGCCAACCGGAACAGCCAAAAAGGAGGCTCAATTCGAATTCAGCCTTGCATGCAACAGCCGAACGCTAGGCGGCGGATAGCGACATCCGCGATGTATTTCGAGCCAATCATACATATCAACGGCTGTAAAGTTAGATTCGGGGCAATCTCGCCGGACACGTTGGTGTGAGAGACGGACCCACGACCGGATCCTGATGCAAGAAAAATGTCCACCCAACCTGCTGGGATAGCTCTTTTCGACGTCATATGCCTGGACGACCTCCCTCCAGAAGGCCAACAATGCGCAAAAATCATGCGCGGATACGACCTGATGTTAGACTGGTCGCACTCGATGTCAGCTTGCACAGGAAGTCGCATTCGCGATGAAATGTTTGATGCAAAGCACGCCACGACATCACAAAATCGGGCGTTGTCGGGAGCGCTTGGACATCAAAAAAATCTGTTCAAGTACGGGCCGCATTGCAAACGCTGTACCCGAGACCGAGTCCTCACCTCCTATAGTGCGCAACACGCGCCCAGAAGGTCCACGCTGTTGTCGAATAAATACGGTAGATGATGCATGTGATGGTAGAGAGTGGAATACGTTCCGGCTTCGCGATGCGCTTTTGATGGATTGATGCGCAATCCACTTGGTTTCTTCGATGGCGTCGACGATGCTTTTATATCTTTGCATCAATCACCGGGCACGACCGGAGCCTGAGCCTGGTCTGATGCAAACGACGTCGCGGTCGTCAAATGCAGGGGTTGCCGTACCAATCACGGTCATTTCTCGAGACAGGTGGATGGTCAGAGCTCTGCTTCAGCAAGCCCACCTTTAAGCGACCATCCCAAGCAAAATCTGCTCACCATCTTCCACACTTTCCCCGTGACAGCTCCAGTCTCTTCAGCTCACCGTCACAACTCCGCTCATCAGAAATCCATCAGAAGACACCTCAATCCCTCTTCAATTCATCCAAAACCATTGCAATGGCATCCTCTCTCCGCATGGCTGCGCCAAAGATGGCCTCGATGGCCGCTCAGAGCACCCGCCAGGTCGCTCGCCCACAGCAGTTCCAGAAGCTCGCCCGTGGCTTCCAGACTGGTAAGCTTCATCGAGCTTGGGGAGCTTGAAGACTGCTCCATTGACACTTTCATCGTAGCCGCTTCCCGCCAGACCACTGCCTTCAACACCATGAAGCGCACCTCCACCATTCTCCAGAGCGCCCGCGCCAAGGTCTCCCCAATTGGTGCCCAGGCCAAGCGTGCCTACTCTTCTGAGATGGCCAATGCTCTCGTCCAGGTCTCTCAGAACCTTGGTAAGAATAGTAGTGATCACATGTAGAAAACAATTGCTCATATATATCAGGTATGGGTTCTGCTGCCATCGGTCTTGGTGGCGCTGGTATTGTGAGTTATCCGTCGATTTACCACTGAATGTCATCAAAACTGACCACGTATCAGGGTATTGGTCTCGTCTTCGCCGCCCTTCTCCAGTCTGTTGCCCGCAACCCATCCCTCCGCGGCCAGCTTTTCTCATACGCAATTCTTGGTTTCGCTTTCGTCGAAGCCATTGGTCTTTTCGACCTCATGGTAAGTTCCGCCGCGCGAGTCTTGGCATCTTCGCATACACTAACACTCCTCCCAGGTTGCCATGATGTGCAAGTACGTCTAAACGAATATCACGGTTTCGGCATAGCATAGCGGGCGTACCCTCGGGCGTTACTGTAACAGTATGGGAGGAGCAAGAGCATCGAAGGATAGAGACACCGATAGACCGATAGAGAGCAGGCAAGGCAAACTCTTCGCTCGGATAGAACTAGAGCTTGGATCATTGTACATACGGAGCCTCACTTCGAAGACCTCGCGTAGAGGCAAAACGTTTTCATCTGTCCTGTGGCCTGTCTTTCATCGTCTCGTCCAAAACTCGCCAAGAACAACTGCTTCATCCGGTGCAGGGACTACTTTCCGAAGTAATCCGGAGCCGGAATCGCCGAGATATATGAAAGTCTTTGCTTCTGAACAATGAAGTGCTTGAGGATGCACAGGTATAAAGTCGGCCCAATATCGCCCAGAACATGCCACATTGGGCATCGGCTCATCAGCGCCTCGTACGAAGACAGCTGTCTTGCTGAGTCCTACCCGCATCTGCACAATGCTTACATGAGACATTGTTGGAGTCGGCACATACATCATCGCCGACTCTGAAGACCATTGCGGTCAATATCCTGCCTAATCCAAGCAAATTTTCCTAACCGACATCATCATGAATCAGGCATATCTGTGTTGTTCTGCTCATAAACATTGAGAACGACTTCCTCATCATCCGCTAATATACAGTATGCGATGAAGGGATGTCGATTGAGTCAAGTCTAGCTCGCCCATGGTAGTCGACTTGCTCGATTCATGTCGACAAGACACATCGCTCAGAGACAGAGTCTGTCATGGTCATCCTCTAGGTTGTTTCCAGCACATCACTATCGAACAATAATCCTCGAACTGCAATGCGCGGCTTCGAGGAATATTTTTTGGAACTGATGACTTTTTCCAATGAAGCGACGTCGATCGAGCCAAGCTAAGCTAAGCTTGACTTTCGCTTCAAATATAAAAGATCTTGGAGTACAGTAGAATACCCGGTTACGGCTAGTCCGGTTGTTAGCTCCATTTCGGGTCTAGCCTTAGTGCCTTCAACGTGACCTTCGTGCTTCGTCCATGGACGTTGCAGAAGAGGCCGACATGAGTTCGCCGTCGCGCCAGATGAGAAGCGAATCGAGAAGTTCCTCCATGGTCGAAAAGAGCTCGCCGCTCGCGCACCGGAACACCGCCGTCGAAGTAGAAGTGGATGGCTCCGCGCACAGGCCTGCGAAGAGAGTGTCTAGATTGGAGTTTAGGCGACGCGGCGCTCAGGTTGTCCTTAGAATGGTATGGATCTGAAAGAAAAGGAAAAGAGAAAGGCTGTGGACGCAGGTTGCTGTGACCGTTGAGCTTGGAAGACACGCGCAAGGCAGGTGCGAGTTGAAAGAGCTGTATACCACGAGTGAAGCCTTCAGCACTGGTCCGCAGAAGCATCACCACGCTACGATATTGACTTCGACATTCTCTTGCACTCGTATGGCAATCGTGTGGATATCAGACTTCAGCGTGCTAGACCCCAAGTCTGCATTGGGCGTATCTGCCATCCAAAGCGACGCGGCCAGTATGGGAAGAGTAGGATGAATACAGCATTGGGTAATGGACAGGACGCGGCGTGTCGACACAGGTCACGTACCTGAGGACCTGAAGAGATCGAGACCCACTTAACACAAAGGCTCGTAGCTTCCCCATACTTCACATGACTGGCCAGTGAACCCGTCACACATCTTACCGGCCTGTAATGTCTTTGCGATCCTTGTGTACACCATTTGGCAGTTTGCGGTCGCTTGATTGGTAAGGCAACACTTACTTTCCCGGACTAAAATCCAAAAACTTTCTTCGACCCGCTTTCGAAGCTTGCGCGCCAGCTTTTCGAGACTTTCCATATCTACGAAAGCCTCAACACGAACAATCATCAAGACCACATCCGATCCACTTCCAAAAGAAATTCAACTACAAAGTCACATACCACCAAGAACACGACAGAACTCTCAGCCTACCACGATCAGAGTAATTGCGAGTCATGGACGTCGAAAAGCAACTTATGGTGCTTCAGGACCGGGTCGCAGATCTCGAACAACGCGAGTTCGCCTTCGAAGATGGCATAACTCTTCCCGAAAGCGACGGATCTGCCAGAACCGTACCTAGCACCAAAAAGACCATCTTGGCTGTGATTGCTCTTATCGAAAAATCTGCAGTCCTTGGCGCCCCCCTAGTCGTATTCGCCGTATTTGGCCACATAGAAGACGAAGCCCACTACAACGCTACTAGCAATTACATGTCTCCCGACCAGCGCCTAGTTCTCGAAATCCTCAGCTGGACTTACTTTGTCCTGTGGGTCATCTGCGTACTCTTCAACCAAAATTACCAACTGATCCACCACGGCTTTACTCGCCTGTTTTGCACATTCAATCTTATAAGTTTCGCATTTATGGCGTTCATAGTGGTGGTGCACTACTCGATTGCGTTCGTGGCTGCAGGGCAATCTAAAGAACTTAGTGCGAATGTCTGATTTATGGAAATATTGTGGCGATGGAGGAGGTATCTGCATTCTCCAGGCGTGATAGCACCACTCTGTCTTTCATCCATCATCGGACTACTGCGCCGGATTGAGAAGGCAGAGGCCTGTTGCTGCCAGGCCGAGTCAACAAAGGAAATCATTTGAATTTGGAAACACCGAAGTCGTACTCCATTCTGTACGTTCTACAAAGTAAGTAGAAAAGATAGCCATGCAAACAAGCAGATACCCGCACAGTCAAATCCTGTCATGCATCTCTTGATTCCCCATTGTGCTAGAGTGTCTGCCCACAGAATACCAGTGGCGAGTTTGGAGACTGCTTCAACCATCATACACAGCTGACAAGATAGCCATGACCTCCACGACACCATTTCCCATCCTCCGCATCAAGACGATGATCAAGTCCCCTCCATCGGCCTGTTACCGGAAGTTGCCTACAAACAGTATCAGTTCATACGCCGACTTAGAATAGATGTGCAAGGTCTTGCTCTCACCAAATCCGCGACATGCAGCACCATCCCATCCCGACGACGACTCCCACCAGAACCAGTTGAGCACAGAGCTATGCCTGCGCAAATCGCGGGTGCTGTGAGGAGATGTTTGGAGATGAATCCGTAGACGAGTCCGAAGTTCAGGCTCAGACTGTGACAGCAAACCTGGAATGACACCGACCGAAGGCAGCGAATTGTGCCCGGTTCGGGTGGGTTGGGTGATTTGGTGGACGCTTCTAGAGTTTTGAGAATGTCGATTGTGGTATCCGAAGGAGTATTGAAGCAGCTTGGTTGGCCAAGGCAAAGGATGGAGGGAATCGCAAAGGCGTTCTTGGGAATGTTCCTAGGAGCCTACGGGAGTCGATTTGCTTTGAGAATGAGAGTGAGTCCTCTGCCCGGGATATTGTGACGGTGCTTGTGACGTGACGTTCTTGGGGCCATGATGAAGCGCAAAGGTTCTCTGACGTAGTTCCAACGTTCCTGACTGAGCAAAGACATCCTCGCGTGGTTGCCGATGCAAACGAAGCTATGGACCGAGCGGCGTGGGGGCTATCGCGCGAGTGCACGATCATTTGTCCTATCGCATTGTGGAGTTTGGTCGCTGCCAGCACGAGCGAACGACAGTAAAGTTCGTCCCACGGCGGTTTGGTGTTTGATGTTAGCTGGCGGCGAGATTCGCTGTCCGCAAGCCGCTGGTTGTGCTGTTCCAGTAGCTGGTTGTATCGCTGCAGCCTCTTGTCGGTGTTATCGCCCATGGGTCCCAAGGCTTATTAGGTCAAATATGGCCCATTGGTCCAACAATTTAATCAAATAGAGCCTATCTTAGCTCGGCAGTTTAGTTAATCAAATCGGCGCTATTCTATCTACCGTATAGCGCTCTAGTGTATTGTTTTAGTAGTTCTCGGTATTACTAGGTAAGGAGGGCAATTTCCGAGGTTGAATTTAGTAGCTTAGCCTTCGCAAAGCCGATTCTCGACTATACCCTTCGCTACTACAACTATTACTATAACTAAATAATATAGAGTCTAGACTATTGCAGTAGCGATATATAAGATATAGGCGTTAACCTGTCTAAAAATAAGCATTATACGATATTATACGACCGAGCGAGAACCCCCGGCGTTACGAAGCCTAAATCGACTTTGCGATAATCTACTACTTTCTAATAACGATAATGCCTCTTCCTTGTCTATTATCGCTATAAGGCCGCCTTAACAACCTCCGCCGTAACCGCAATACTCTAATACGGCCTATTATACGACTAGTAATATCTTAGACTATTGTTCCGACTCTTCTTAGCGGCGAGAGGTAGCAAAATATCGAGCTATTCGACGTTTCCGCCGAAGTCTAGTTCGCTACGTATCTCTCGAGAACCTACGATAATGCTCGGAAACGCTATACTCGAGAGCGCTATTTGCGTATTATCCGATAGGTTATAATACTAGTCGATAAGTTGCTACGCCGTAACGAGATAAGCGAGTAGGAATACTAAGAAAGAAGGTAGGCTTTAAGGCGCTTCTATTATAATACTAAGAAGAGCCGATTAATATATATTAAGAAGGAAGGGAAGCCTGCTATATAGGTTATTTAAGAGTACGAGATCTTCTAGGTTCTAAAGACTAAGCACTGTTTAATAGCTTACGGAAGGCGTAGACCTATCTAGGCACTTATTAATATACGCTTCTAAGGTGTAATAAAGAGGGATATTAAAGAAGTGCTACGCTACTATCGAGTATATACCCTCCTTCGCTAGGCACCTTCTTCGAAGATCCGTGTTCTATTAGACTATATTCGCACTTCTAAGGTCCTTAGCCGTATCTAAATAGACCTTATCGACTTCTTAAGCATACCTAATAGTCCTTATATCTATATACTGCACGTTAAAGACTATAAGACTAATATTGGCTAGTAACCGGCCCTATACCTATAGGCTAGTTTTGAGCCTATATAAGAGGCCTCCTTCTATAGAGTAGACAGATTATCAACCTCGTATAGTACATTGTTTATATTACACTTCTATAATGCCTATATTGCAGGGCTCTAGTTATTAGCCTAAGCGACAGTCTCGTTATCCTATCTTACTAAATATAGCTGCCTATATTGCTATAGGTTATATTACCCTTAGTAGCCTATACTATTGCTACGAGTAGTAGTAGTAGTATTGGTTTCCGTCCTTTATTAGAGCCGAAGGTAGGGCTATCTCTTTATATCTAATAGGTTCGGGTGTATTAAAGGTAGTCTCTAGGTACGAATAGCTATAACCGAAGCGAGGGCACGATAAGAGCCTATAATACGGACGATACCGAAGTATCTTAAGGGGCTGTTACGACAAGTAGAGAAACCTCTTAACGAGGGCATCGCTTTAACCCCGAAAAGCTACAAACCCTTAGGACTGTTACAGCTTAGGGCCTAGTCTATAACTATAGCTAGCTTCTAAGGACTCGGCTCCGGGTCGAAGACCTATTTAGTACCGCTTACTCGAGATAAGCTACCGCCCGCCTAAGGAGGAGATAGATTAATTACCTATCGGCCTTGCTTAGTTTGCTAAGACTATCTATACGATAGCAATTTCTAGATTATAGGTTAGATACCTAGATAGTTCCCCTATTAACTAGGTAGATTATTTCGGGATTCGCTACCTCGTTCGGATAGTGCTTAGCCTTCTACTAGAAAAAGAAGGTCCCCGCCCCCTACCTAGCTAAAAGAGATAACGATAGTTAGTAAAGTAGCTAGTTTCTAGGATCTAGGTGTGAATAGAGATTACAGTTCCTTCCTCCGAGCGGCTTTTATCTAAATTTACTAAATTGAAGCTTCTAGGGTGTCTAGGCGACCCCTAGGAGGCTAAACTCTAATGCTACCCTAGGGGTAATATTAGAAGAAAACAGCCTAGCATACTATTTTCTCGCATAGCAATATCGAAACAAACTAAACCTACAATATATACTAAAAACACTTTCTTATAGCACTTTATTTTAACTACTTTACAACAATCGAATAAGCTCTAGCGAAAGCGAGTATTACGAATTAGCGGAATCTTCGGAATCTAATAACCTACCGGACCCTATTAACGAAGAAATTAGGCGACGACTAGTTATTATAAGCGCCGTCGACCTAGGGGCTATCGAGCCTTCTACGCCCGAGGCTCTCTATAATGTTGTTATAAAGATAATTTAAGGGCAAACTAACCTTCTCCGTTAGAATAGGCGTCGCCCGCTAGAGCTAGGAAGTAGTAGGAACCCTTTGTTCGAAGGGTAGAACGCTACGGCGTACGTAGAACGCTTTAAGGACAACTTAGCTAAGTACGGACTCGAAGAGGAGTCGGACTAGTACAAGGTCCGGTCCCTTACGAGGACTACTATTACTAAGCTTTACCGAACCCTTAGAACCCTAGTTAGCTACCTAGAAAAGGACGATAAGTCTAATGCCGACTAGGAGGTCTTTAAGTAGGCCTTTATAAGGGAGTATCGGGATCGCGATAGCCGTCGTATTAAAGGTAGTCGTACGTAGCTTAAGAACCTCTATATAGAGAGGCGTACCGAAGATAACGACCTAAAGGAGTACGTCCGCGAGTTTGTTAAGTTAGCGGACGGCATCGACTAGTAGGACCTCGAGAATTCTTAGAGAACGAGGCTGCTCCTTAAAGGGTTGCCGTAGTCTACGGCTAAGCGCGTCTTCCGTCGCTATAAGCTTAGCGAAGCTAATCCCGAGACCTTTAGGAAGTACAAAGAGGTCCTAGAGGCTATTAAGGACGATATTAATAGCTCCGCTAACGCAAAGAAGTTCATTTACGGCAAGGACCGGAATAACCTAGCCTAGGTAAGGAACGATACCTCGGGAACTAGAGGGCCTAAGTTTCTTCCTAAATCGCAAAGTAGTCCTAGTACCGTAACTCCTACTATTACTAAGCATTCTTAGGACGTTGCGGACTTAGCTAAATCCCTAGCCTAGCTCAACCTTAATACGAAAGCACTATAGCGAGTTAGGGAGGTCCTTAATACTAGTATACTAAAGGATATGCTACTAGTCTACTAAGTCTCCGATCCTAACTACCCTAAGGCCCCTTTAGTTAACGTCTACGCTATACGGAAGATCTATTCGGACTTAGATAGTAAGTGCTAGATATACGGCGGTTTTAAACATATTTAATTAGACTGCCCTATCTAGAAGGAGCTTCTTAAGAGGAAGCTCGTTATATAAGTAAATAGTCGGTTCTACTATACCGATACCGGCGACAAGATTAACTTCGAGTAGGATCGTAGAGCCCTAAAGCTGCCTTAACTTAGGAGTCTTCTAGAGAAGAAGTATAGTAGCAAGATCGAGTTTAAGGATACTAGGAATAGTACCCTCGCCGCTATTACTAAATAAGAGACTTAGAAGGTTAGGGCAAAACAGGTTAAGGAGCGGAGTAGTAACGGTACTACTAAGCCTATTAAAGTCAACTTTGTGTCTTAGGACCCAGACGCAGTTACTAATGTTTACGCGGTTACTAAGAATAGTGTAGATGTCTACGCTGCTATAAGGTCCTAAACTTAGTCGTCCTAAACCTAGTCCTAGGGCAAGGGTAAGAGCCCGTAGAACCCTACCCGCCCTAGTGCGGCAGCCCCTACTAGGATACTTAAGAAGCAGGCAGCTAATAAGGCTAAGAAACAGCGAGAATTAGTCGCTAAGACTAAGACACTCTAGACAGCTAAAGACTATGCAACCCGAGCTAGTATAGCTACTCCGGAGGTCCTAGAGACTCTAGATATCGATATAGAGGATAATACTACCGACCTTAGTAGTACCCTAGGCCTAGCTAACCCGCCGGCCTATAAACGAAAGTTAGCCGACCTAAAGAGCTTTCGCTTTAATAGGTATATAAAGAAGTATAGTACCGGGCCTACTAACTCCTACGATATAAAGGCAAATGCTCTCTTCTAGGCTTTATAGTTCCTAGACCTTAAGTCTAACGTATCTATAGGAGAGCTTCTAGTATACGGTTTGCCTACTAACCTATTCTAGAGCCGGATTCCTAACGATACTACCTTTATAAAAGACCTTATAGCCCTCCGACGCAAATAGGGGCGAGAGGACTATATCGACGTCTCTTCCCTATAGTTCCTTCCTAAATTTTTAGGGGCCTAAGAGTTAGTAGAAGGCGAATCGGTAACCTACGAGAGCTAGGAGACTATCGATAATACTAACGAAGAGGGGATTAAGGAGATAGGCCGAGGGGATAGTAATAATACCGACCCTGCTTTAGTTTTAGTTTCTATTAAGGCTATCTGATTTACTAGCTAATAAATCGGTCGAGTAGGACCTCCTCGACCTAAGGAACTTTACTCTATCCCTAATAATATAGACCTTTCCGTAGTTACCCGTTCCTTCGCCGTTATACCCGCTATCTATATTTAAGTTACTATCGGAAGCTATAGTTAGTAGTTGCTAGCAATACTTAATAATAGTTTAGAGTTACTTATTATAAGTAAGCGCTAGGCTAAATAGCTCCGACTACTAATAAATAGAGATATTTCCCTTAGTATATAGGGAGTAAATAGGGAGGTTGCGCTAGTAGGTGCCTACTATAATATTATAGTAGATGCTTTCGGTATATGCTTTTCCTTTACCTTCTAGATTGCCGCTAACCCGAATATGCTAATTATTCTAGGTCGACTATAGTCTCGTATAACCCGGGGTATCTAGCGCAACTACGACGATAGCTCCTAGGAAGGAACTATCGCTAACTAGAAGGGCAACCGAGTCGTATTTACTAGTTATATCGGAAACACTAGCTACAAGTCCTACGAGGATATCCTTACTACTTCTA